AATAGCTTTGTTCGTTGGGACTGCACTACTTGCACTCACTTGCACTATGCAGTTTAGTGCAGATGTTGTGTGTTCGTTGGGGATAGTGCAGTTTAGTGCAGTTGCATTCATACTGTTCGTTGGGCCAGGTGCAGTGCAATTTAGTGCAGCCGGTGCAAGTTAGTGCAGATTTTGTTGCACCTGCTTTCGATTAAGTTCAATAAGTGCAGTGTAACTAAAATGGCGGAATATTTGAAAGCGCGTTTTGTAATAATTAATATTAATATAAATATTAAGAAATAAAACCTTATAATAATTAATATTTGTTGTATTAGAGAACACAATACATTCAATACCAGTAGAAAACTACCCCTACATTTTTGGAATAATTTAAAAACTACCCTGTCGATTTTGGCTTCATTAAATACACTTATAGTACATTTAAAAATATTAATTAATGTGTTTTTTCTCATTTAGGGGTGGCTGGGGTTAACTACCCTTACCATTTTTTTTTCAAGTGCTGCTTATCGATTTTGGTGCAATTTAGTATGTGATTTCTTTATACGTTAACTAGTACTTTTGAAAGAACTAATAAGGGTTAGTAGTTTGGGGTAGAATATATATTTCGCTAATAATTGAAAAAAATAAAAAATAATAATAATAAGATAATAACAATTATTGATGAATCGCTACTAAAAAAACATTCTGCAATGATTTCATTTTCCACGAGTATTTCGCTGAAAATCTCCTGTTCGTCCATTTCAAATATTATACACTTTTTTTTATAAAAATCTGTTTGTTGCGACCACGGTTTATACACTTTTCTGACCTGCACTAAGTTGACATGACATTGCACTGACTTACACTTCACTGCACTATGACGTCATACGAGTGCCATGTCGTGCAGAGTAGTGCAGTCCCAACGAACAAAGCTAAGGAATCACTCTTTCATGTCTTACTTAGTCTTTCTTAATAGACTTCTACAAACTGCCTCTCACTCTAGATTTCCATTAACACTGTCTAGGTAGTATCGTGTCTTCTGCTAGCTGTATTTAGCTTTTTGGCAACACCGTCTAATATGCTAGAAGCAATAAGTAGACTTTCGCAAGCTGCTCTTGTCTTTAAATATATATTAGCGGTATTTTGGCTTCTTCAGGAAGCTTCTAGTTCATCATTAGTAGTATCTAGTTTTCTTCCAGCAGTATCTGCAGTATTTAGATTTTAAGAATCAGTTTCTAATTTTCGTCCAGTAATGCCTCGTTTTTGCCATCAGTAGTTAGTCTTCCATTCGTAATATTCGTAATATTTAGACTGGAGTCTGTAGTATTTAGATTTTAACAAGCAGTTTCTAGTTTAAGCAGGCAGTATATAATTTTTTTGCTAATAGCAAATAATTTCTTGCGAATGTGGGATATCTAGACTTAAGGCAACAGTACTAACACTTCTGCCATCAGTATCTACTATCCGTGCAAAAAGTCAAGGCCCCTCACTTTAGAGATCGATATCTTCGTAACCGCTCGATGAAAGAAATTGGGNACGTGCCATAGTAAAGTGATCAAACGTTTTAGACCGCAGTTCTCGGCACCAAAACATACTCCATCATGTTGCTTAAGCATATTCTCAATCCTAAATTGATATCCCAAAAATCAAGTGTTTTCTGATTTTTTGAACAAATGTCTGCTGGAGCAGATTTTTCTAGAAAAATTCGAATAACTCGAGAACGACCGAATCAAATTGCAAAAAGTAAAGTTACTTATAAACTTGGTGTTCCATTTGGTGTTCCATTTAAAAAAATAAAGTAGGTGGCGACTTCCGGTATAACCGAAAGTGCTAGAAATCTGAAAATATTTTAGATGAAGAGAACGTAATTGATAATACTTAAGTCTGCATTCTCAAATTTTTTGTTTGGCCAGAACACTAGAAACGTCTAATGACCGGTCTCGCTGAGACACCCTGTATATATTTTGATGTTTGTAATAATATGTATTTTTTAATTATTAAACAATATTGAAATTAACTTTGTAAATTGAATATGTAATAAAAAATGAAATAAAGGAAGAAGTTTCGTTATCGAATGAAATCTTGGTGGTAATTGCAAGTTGAGTGTGCGCTTTCTAATGGTAAAGCAGTGCCAAATGTTACACAACGTTTAAATCGGAGCGTTTTTCCTTTCAAATCTTGCCATGCGTAACCAGTACAACAATAGATGCTCTATGGCTTTTAGAATTAATCGAAATAAATGTAGGTCATCGATAAATTTGAAAAAACAACGAATTAATTTGGATAAATATTCCAAAATTACATTCCAATTGACCCGGAATCTTGAGCGTTTGGTTTTCATCCAATATCAACAAGGTTATTTCATGTATGCCGAACTAAATATAGCGTTTCAAATGAGAAGAAATAAAAACTTTAAACAAATCTACACGTAGAGTGGGAATAAAAAATTATTTTTCCCCGAAATCCTTGATAATCATATAGATAAATAGATATCGATATAAATTCAATTTTAAATACGATCATCACATTCAACGTGAAATTCTCATCTTAAGGTAAGCTTTAACTAAAATAATATTAGTTTGAAATGAAATTCTTTGTTGTGGTTTAAAGTTCAAGTTCGCAATTTCAAATATGGTTTGAAAATAAAACCGGTTCGTCCATATTTAGAAAGCCGTCTTATATTAAAATTCTGTTAGGTTTTTTTTTGCGCGTTGTGTGGTTAGTGTTTAAGGAATCAATAATAATTACTTACATTGTTAAAATGAAGATTCAGGATTATCAATTTGAACGGTTTTGGTTAATTTTTCTGACGAAATTATTAATAAGAACATTTTCTATAAATAGAGAGAAAATTTATACTTTCCTACATGCTTTTTTGAACTACAAATTTGATATGGAAAAAAACAAACCTAAAACGTCACAATTGACTTTTTAAAATAACAAAAGTTTTTGATTTTAATGATATTATTAAAAGTGATTTTTTTAGCAACTTTTTGATCTTAAATATTTATGACAAAGAGATCCTCATTGTTGTTTAACTTCTTTATGATTCTTTTCCTTTATTTCTTGGGTTGTTTCTAAATATAATCCCAAACTAACTTCATAAATAAGTAATCACTCTTGCATGTCTTATTTAGTCTTTCTTAATAAACTTCTACAAACTGCCCCTCACTCTAGATTTCCATTAACACTGTCTAGGTAGTATCGTGTCTTCTGCTAGCTGTATTTAGCTTTTTGGCAACACCGTCTAATATGCTAGAAGCAATAAGTAGACTTTCGCAAGCTGCTCTTGTCTTTAAATATATATTAGCGGTATTTTGGCTTCTTCAGGAAGCTTCTAGTTCATCATTAGTAGTATCTAGTTTTCTTCCAGCAGTATCTGCAGTATTTAGATTTTAAGAATCAGTTTCTAATTTTCCTCCAGTAATGCCTCGTTTTTGCCATCAGTAGTTAGTCTTCCATTCGTAATATTCGTAATATTTAGANCGAGAAAAAAAATCGCAAAGTTGATAAAGTTGCCAATTCCGTAAAAAATCGGGTACATTTTTCATTTAACTCGCGGTAAAAAGAAAACCGTGGATCCAAAAATTTTCAGATTAACATAAGTTACGTAGTAATGTTCAGTGATTACAACAAACTTTGTTGCAATTTTTTTTATGGAGTGGTTGCGAAGATATCAATCTCTAAAGTGAGGGGCCTTGACTTTTTGCACGGATAGTAGATACTGTTGACAGAAGACTAAATACTGCTGGCAGAAGACTAAATACTGCTAGTACTAGTCTTAATACTGCTGCGATAAGACTAGATATTTCTCATGGAGATATTGTTGGCGAGACTCTACTTACCGCCCGATAAAAAAATTGCAGTAAAGTTTGTTGTAATTACTGGGTGAGGGGGATTCCATCCAATCGCAAAAGATGATACGTTCCAGACAGTACGTCGCGCCTTTATTTTACCTAGATAAAGAAATAAAGGCGCGACGTCCAGTCTCTGGAACACACACCGGGATCATCTTTTTCGATTAGATGGAACTCTCCCCGCATGGTTTATTTCTGTTCCTTTTTAATTTATAATTCCCTTAAATCGCTCTAAAAAATTAGAGAGACATAACTTTGAAAAAGTGATAACGGTATCTGACAAACGCAATTATTTTTATTATTTTATATTTTTTTCGTACGATAGTTTTCAAGAAAAAAAATCGCAAAGTAGACAAAGTTGCCAGTACCGTAAGAAATCGGGTACTTTTCTCATTTAACTCGCGATAACAAGAAAACTGTGGATCCGAAAATTTTCAAATTAACATATGTTATGTAGAAATGTTCAGTGATTACAACAAACTTTGTCGCAACTTTTTTTATCGAGTAGTTGCGAAGATATCGATCTCTAAAGTGAGGGGCCTTGACTTTTTACACGGATAGTAGTTGTTTGAAAGATGAAAAATGCTTCTATTGGCCAACACAGCAAATAATTTTGTGCCAATAATATTTACGTATTCAAGTTTCTAACGTTCCTATAAAAGAATTTTTTTGCCTTTTTGTTGGAATCTTGCTGACTTATCTTATTTATACCATATCAGATGCAACAATGTAGAGCAATATTTGAAAATATGAAAATTGGAAGAATTCGTAATTTCACAAGTTGTTAATGCAAAAAAACGGTATTGCGAGCATGATACAGTAAAACTTTTATAACAAAAGTTGTAGCAAATTTTACACATTAAAAGGGTAAAATCCCTCTATACTTCTTTCTATTTTCATTCCGGCTTCTTTAAAATGTTAGACCAGTTAATCTTGGAATAATTTTATATAAAAAAAATTCTAGATATCTGTAATTTAACTATTTCATTATCTCCTTATAAGAAAGTGGTGCCATCTCTGATTTCCTTTATGACTCAAATTCTATTATAATATTTTTAGTCTTGACTGAGTATCCAAGGATACAACTTCGACGACTGATAATTATTTATAAAGCGAATAATGGCCAGTTTAGTAACGAGAGCGATAAAGTGCGCATTTAACCGCACCAACAACAATTATTATAAAATTCATCGATTGATGAGCCGAACGATGTTTACCGATGGCTTCATTTTTCGTCAGGTAAGAAGGTGTAGTTTCTAATTTTTGTTTATTCGCTTATTTATCGCTTTAGCTGTTCGACACGGAGAGCAGCACGTACACATATTTACTCGCCTGCGCCAAGAGTAAAGAGGCCATTCTTATCGACCCCGTTATAGAACACGCAAACCGGGATTTTCAACTTTGTAAAGATTTAAATTTGAATTTGAAATACGCAAGTAATAAACCAAAAAGTTTTTGGAAATAAAATTTTTAATTTTATCATTTTTTATAGTTAATACTCATATGCATGCTGATCATGTAACCGGAACGGGGGAATTAAAAAAACTTTCTGGTTGCAAAAGTATTATTTCGAAGGCGAGTGGGGCTCAGGCTGATATTTTAATCGACGAAAATGATGTTATTGAGTTTGGAGAGCATAAATTGGAAGTTAGGGCGACTCCTGGTCATACTAATGGGTGTGTTACGTATTATATTCCGGCACAAGTAAGTGTTATTAATAACAAAATCACCTTGAGAATTATTGATGATACTAAATTAATAAGTGATAACAAAATCGATAACGTTATCGACACTAATAGATTAAGGATAAAATGAAAATGAGGATTAAGTTCATTAAATAGGTCCTTCTTTTGCAATTCGGGTGCGAATTCTTTTCACAAAAAAAAATCGGGCTGTCACTTTGACGAGGGTCGGCTTAAAGGGATGTCTCTATTGAATAAAAAACTAGAATGGATATTACATAGGTGAAGAAGTTACAGGTGGTAAAAAGTAAAAAAAAACACAATATCATTATTTAAATTCTTGAAAATTGGATGCGAAAATATTTGCGGATGGATTGTATTCGAAACGGATCCTTTATAAATATTCAGAAGCAGATGACGCACCGCGTCTCCTATACATACATATATCGGCATAAGTCATGAACTGCGATCAATAATCCCTTTTCAATCTTCTTCCCTTTTACCCTTTTTTTATGATGTTTGAGAGAAGAGAAAACAATAGGCAAAAGCTACCGCGTTCTCACCTCGTTCTTTTTAGTAGAGGGCGGTTGTTCCAACATCTCTCTCTCGACCTAATTCTTACTAACTCCAGAAGCTGATTGTTACCGCAGAAGCGCAAGTGGGCCCACGAATGAAAGCTACCACCTCGGGGCGAAAAATCTACAACTTACACTTATCTCTTTGACACTCACTGTGTATTATAAATTTTTAAAACAAGATCTCAGTATATATTGTTATAAAATACTTTACTACTAATACCAAATTAGACTTTTTATAATATAATTAGAAGATATGACTAAACCACATCAAGAGATAAAATGAACTGATGAAAAAAATTCGTTTTAAAAGTAACTTTATAAAATAAACCAATGAAGCGTAACAAACATCCGGGCAGCTGCCAAATTAAAGCAACCGTTGTAATATATATATATATATGTATATAGAGGTGTAATGTTAAATTGGAAATTATAAATCTCTTATGTAAAGTAGAGTATGTTTAAGATTTCTAATCTTTCTGATAAGTTACAATTTCAAAGGTGATAACGATGTTGGAAGTTGTGGGTTTGACCACATGCCATATATACAGGGTGTCCCGTTAAGCGTACGGAGCGGCTGTATCTCAACAACGGTAAGGCCTAGAGGTTTGGGAAAAAATCCTTATAAGCAAAGTGAGCAAGAGAAACATAAAATTCCCGCTATCTCAGAAAATTAGACGATGAGCTATAACGTTGACAACATCATTTAGTAGCTTGGATAATACCGCATCGCTTTTGTTTTGCGATATTTCTCATATCTGTCATAATAAGGGAGGGGGAGGCCAATGCGTTTTCAAATGTTTACATTTTAATATCTCCTGGACCATTCAACCGATTTGAATATTTTTGGTCTTGTTTGAAAGAGCATTTCATGCTCTTTTAAAAGATATTTTCAGTAAGACCGCTTG